AGCACTCCAAACCGAGTGTACAGCAGTAAGCCCAGAGTCACAGATACCCCTCCCCCCATCGCCACCCCCACCCCCCCAACTCCGCGAAGAGAGGGAGAGAGAGAGAGTGAGTGAGAGAGAGGGAGAGGAAAAGAGAAAGGAAAAGAGTTGAGATCTGCTGGGAAAACTCACTGGCGACAGAGGCTCCGCTCCATCTTTGAGCAGCGAATAACTTCACTGGGGAATATTCGCCTGGATCCAGGGATACTCTCTGTCATGAGGGTGTTTACGGTGTGTTGTGCAATAATTTATTTTAACTACCCGGTAAGTGGTTCTTGGTCTGAAGCAGTCGTGAAAATAGCCTGAACCACATAATCGCCGTGATCGGTGTGCAGCCGCTAACGTTTGATAATGTAAGGGCAAAGGATTTATGTCAACTGTCAACAGAGTTGGAGACCCCCAGTATAGTGTTGTCCTTGGTCTGGACTAGATCTGATACTTGTACAGTAGGTGTACAGAAACAGTAGGTGACAACGAGGATAGCCTTCAGATGAACACCTACAAACAAACATGAGCGAATGTGGTCACTTCAAACAATTGAGCTTATTTATAAGAGCCCTTTTGTAAAGTTGTACCATTGGCTTGGGACTAAAGTGATCATCAATATTTCACCAATTCCTCTGGAGGAACAGTCAGTCAGTCAGTCATTCCGGAAGCTTTAGTTACAAAACCTGTCCTTTTTTTAAGTTAACACTGAGCTGTTGTTGTGTAATCGTGACAGGTGGAGTTTTTTTTTAGCTCATGGCTGATTAAAGAGTTTTATGTCAAATTGTCTTCTCAGAGGAATATATAGAAGTTTTTTTTTATTGTTCAGTAGGAGTTACTCTCCCATGCGTTGTGAACTGATAAAAGCTAATAGGAGACAACCTGAACCTGACTCAGGGCTAAAACTGAAAGTGGAAAAATGTGGTGCTGGGTCATGCTGCCAAATATTTCTTCACTCTGCTCCTTCCCATCTGATCGAACTGTCCGGGACTGACCTGCCTCCTCATCCAGAAAAACAGTTCACATTTAAATCCCAGACCCAGATCCACAAAATGTCTAGAGGTGTACTACTTGAATTGTAAAAGGAGCTGACCCTGTGTCTCAGTATATTGATGGGAGAAAGTATTTGTTGTCCTTGGAATGCAGCATGCACCGAATTAATGTGAGCAGTTAAGTCTTACACAACTTGCAGATTTATTTAATCAATCTCTCACCCCTTACCTTTTGGGGTTATCAATGCGTAATGACATATGCAAACAGTATAGTTGATACATATATGGAGTGAATATTTAATTTAATGCAATTTAACCATCATATAAATTTACAGATGTTTAAAACAATCTAACATAATCTAAAAAAAAATTTAGACCAGCAAATGGGTAAAAGGATTTTTAAGACTTCAGTTACAAAGAAAGTCTTTTCTGACCTTCTGGTTGAGATGACTGACCTGTCCTTACAATCGAAGGCCAGTGAGTGGCTTCACGCTCCTCCAAAGGGATTTCTCTCCAGCTCGCACAGTCAGATACACATACTCCCGTCGGTGAAAATACTATTCTCACACTGAGACAATCTGTCTGCTGGAATGGGATGCTGACTTCTCATAGCTTCCTCTAATGCACTTCAACATTTTCAACCAGTCAGTGTCATTCGTATTATTTCTTTTTAAATCTGCAATCATGTTTTATTTTAAATAGATATTAGGGCAAGTCTGTTTCTTTTAGTTGACAAGAGCTTCCCCCTCTGTACATTTGATTTGTCAGCAGCTCCCTTGCTCATTTGTTCACTGAACTTCTTTTTCAATGGAAACTTCTTCAAATCCGATCCCTCACACAAATATTAGAACAATTGCGGTCTTGGACTTCCCCTCCACCCGTCTCACCGCTCCCCGCGCCCCCTCCAACCCCCCACCCCCACCCCCACACCCCCACCCCACCACTCCCGAAGAACAAAAGCCAGACTGTATGAAAGGCATCAACCTGATGATATGTCACATTTTTGCTTCTCTGATCGATCCACAAGTCTGCTGTTCCCTTCTGATATTACAGCATCAGCTCCAATTCTAAGTAAAAAATAGTGATTTAAAAAGATCAATTTAACTGAAAACCGAAAGAACTGCGGATGCAGAGCCGTTCTGAGGAAGGGTCACCGGACCCGAAACGTTAACTCTGTTTTTTCCCTCACAGATGCTGCCAGACCTGCTGAGCTTTTCCAGCAACTTTGTTTTTGCGTCAACTTAACTGAATTTGCCCTTAGGCCCTTTCCCTGTCTCTAATGGTTTCATCTTTTACTACAGTTCATTCACTTTTCACTTGTCACCCATGTTCTGGGACTCCCCTGATCATTGGGATGTGGCCTATTATTAAGAAAGGTTTTCTTCTCCAGTGCCTTCAGTACTCGGGGCTAGAGCGCCCCGTTCCTCTGTACGCCCTGGCACCATGGGGAGTGACCTATTTAGCTTCCTTTAAACGCATCTGTTAAATGTCAGGTAAAAGGAAATAAAGAACTGCGGATGCTGGAAATCTGAAACAAAAACAGAAATTCCTGGAGAATCTCAGCAGCCCCGGCAGCATCTGCGAAGAGGAATCAGAGTTAACGTTTAGGGTTCATTAGCTCCTCTTCTGGGTTGGTTGGCGAGTGATGCCAATTCCTCTACTTTTTGAGGTTAGCATGAAGGACTCTCCTTCTCAAACTCGCCCCCTCGCCTGAGGTGTGGTGACCCTCAGGTTAAACCACCACCAATTTCTCTCTCTCTCTTTAATGAGAGAGTAGGCCTTAAGCAATTTTACTTTTTCTCCAGAACTCGAAGCAGCTAGGAAAAATAAAACGTGATAAACGTCGCAGCATGTTGCTGCTCACATAGAGACGTTGTAGCATCGATTTATTTATTGCACCGGGTTCTTTATTTTGCCATGACACAGTCACGCTGCAATACTGGACACACCATCTTCAATTGCTAAACAACCCCGCGCTCAAGTAATATAAATTCACATCCAGTTTAACACAACGTCCCTTGGGACCTTGCAGGGTGTTCTGCTGTTGCAAAATAGAGACAGTTTCTGAAGGATAATAAAAAAAAACACTTTTGGGGGGTGGTGGGAATAAGGAGATGGCGGGACAATTTACAGAAAAAATAACTACAGAGACGCGGAGATAACGCAGTGTGGAGCTAGATGAACACTGCAGGCCAGGCAGCATCAGAGGGGCAGGAAAGCTGACGTTGCGGGTTGGAACCCTTCTTCAGAAAGTTCTCCCGACCCGAAACGTCAACTTTCCTGCTCCTCTGATGCTGCCTGGCCTGCTGTGTCCATCCAGCTCCACACTGCGTTATCTCTGACTCCAGCATCGGCAGTTCTCACGATTTCTACAGAGACGTGGAGATGGCTTCAGCGTCATCCCCATATTCTATTCCTAAATAACAGAAATAATAATTACTAACATTAGACATTTCTCTCTTTTTTTCCGGCCCTGTTCCTGACCCTTACTATTTCTACCTGTTCAGACCAGGCGCTCCAAAATGGATGGTACAATTGATCCGTTCATAATAAAATGAACCGGCTGAAAATAGCAACAAGCACAAGATTAACTCACGTGCAGTCAGTGACTCCATGCCTTCAATACAACACATCGAATACCAAACACACACAGGCTCCCACTAAACATACACTCGGCTCCAACACCCCGGTGCAATCAGATCGACGTATTCTCAAAAGAGGGGGTCGATTATCTGTAAAATAGAACAATGAGCTGCGGTTGGTGGAATCCTGAAGCACAAACAAAACCCAGAAATTGTTGGAGAAACTCAGCAGGTCTGGCAGCATCTGTGGAGAGGACTGTTCTGAAGAAGGGTCACTGAGCTCGAAATTTCACCTCCGTCTATCCACAGATGCTATCAGACCTGTTGACTTCTCCATCCTTGGGTGGGTTCGCTCAGCTGGCAGGATGATAAGTTTGCAATACCGAGTTTATTCAAAAATATACTTTATTCATTAAAAAAAGATGAGGTGGAGGTGCGGGTGTTGAATTGGGGTGGACAAAGTCCTCAAGGAGCAGCGCTTAGAAAGCTTGTGATTTCAAATAAACCTGTTGGACTATAATCTTGTCTCGTGTGACTTCTGACCTATATATATGTACATAGTCACTGAAGCAGTCCGGTTCTGTACAAACAAACATTGGTGTTTGACTCTACCCACCAAACAAACCAAAGCCATTTCTTAGGCATGGCTGAGGAACCTATAACTGAATAACTTAGGCAGATAGACCTTAGATGGTGGTCTTTCCCCACCAAGAGATACCAGTAGTGTAGGTTCAATTTCTGCACTGGCCAATGAGTGATTCTTCTTCTCAATCTCTCCCCTCACCTGAAGCGTGGTTACTTTTAGGTTAAACCACCAGCAGTCGTTCGTCTCGAAAGAAAAATCAGCCCTACTGCCTGGTAAGGGCATGGTAGCTTGTCTGGGGAATTATTTTAGTATCTGCTCGCGATTCTGGCAGTGAGGACAATGAGCTTGCAAAGTAAGATCTGACTTTTGCCTCCAGTGTTTAGAACTGGGGGGAAAGAAAAAGAACACAGTATTGTAATCAACAAAATACTCATATGTTGCTGTAGGTTAATGTTCATAATATTATCATTTCGTTAAAGTTCTGGGTGCAGTTCAAGTCCTGACACGGCTCCTCACTGAAACCATTCATGTTAATTCTGGATAAAAATACAAATAAAGTCATTTAACACCGACAAATGTGACACTTTCAGAATCAAAAGTCAAAGTATTAAAAATAAAGCAGCGATGGTTGGTCCCCAAGGTACGGTAGTATTGTTACATATAATCAGTGCTGTGTTAATACATATACATAATCCTTTATGGTTTTTGGTAAATCTTGCTTTTAACGTTCACAGGAGATTCTCTGACATGGTTTGGATCATGTAGTGAACTGTTATTAACTCTTGCTGGATTGACGGATCATTTAAGCACGTTTGATTGCCGAAGAATCGTCCTAACCATGAATGGAAGACCCTGTAATATTAACCACAGGGCGACAGGTACTCCCCAGGGCTCAGCCTTGATCAGCGGACAACAGATTCCCCCCATCATCATCCAGACAGAAACACCATGCCCGTCTTCAAACAGCGCAACACCAAGTCCCGCTACTGGAATGCTGGCGACCAATATGCATCCCAAACTGTTCCTGAACGGCTGCCAGCACCCTACAGTCACACCCCAAAACAGCAGTATGCCCGAAAATGCCATCCATTTACCAGCTTTAAGTCCCAGGAGGCATGTGGCAACAAAACATTCTTTTCAAGTACCCCAAACTTTGGGGCATCCAACAAGCTTATCTTCAAAACCAAAACACACGGAATTTGGAGGCATATTTTCAAACAGCAGTGTAAAAGGTAGGGATTTCATTGATTGAAGTGCACTTGACCCTGTTTATTTGAACATCCAGACGTGTATTAATTTGTATCATTCTGATTTGTTTTTAAAAACGGTTTGATTTTTTAAAAAAAAGTTATATTTGTTTAAACACAGAATGATATTATTTTCTCAAATAGCTTCTTGTCAGTTTGTTGGGTTAATGCTGTTTGGTTAAATGGATGACTGTTTAGTAATTAACTGACCTATCCTGATCCATCGCTTTAAGCATGCCTTTGCATGTTGGTGGTGACGTCAGCATACAGCCAACAAGTTTAAAAGATGCCTAGTTAAATAGTAAGTGACCCTTGCTAATTTATTACTGCTAGCTTTCTTTCTAAAACCTTTTGCTTGGTAACTGTTGCACAGGACTCCTACTGTACTTGCAGTGAATCAATAACCAGCTCTTCTGAATGTGATGGTTTTTAATAAGACTGATTTATTACTTTGAGATATTGAACTGCAAATTACGATATGATGACTCACCCTGATAATATCTTGATTACAAATCATTGAATATACATCATAACATATTAGCTGCTGGACACCATAGTTATTGACGTCTGCCATGAGACAAGCCACCAACAAAAAAGGATAACAAAACTTCCATCTGCATAGAGTATATAATTTTTAAAAAATGTGAATACTAGCAAAGGTGTAATTATATCCTCAAATTACAATGGTAGCTATAAACCATTACCTGTTATTGAGGAAAATGGAAAGAACTGTGGATGCTGTAAATCAGGAAACAAAACAGACGCTGCCGGAAAAGCTCAGCAGGTCTGGCAGCATCAGTGAAGAAAAATCACGGTTAATCTTTGGGTAATGTTACCCAGACCCAAAATGTTAACTCTGATTTTTTTCTTCACAGATGCTCCCAGACCTGCTGAGCTTTTCCAGCAGCATCTGATTTTGTACCTGTTATTAAGGCATCGCCTGAATTCCTTGATTAATTTTGGTCACTTTTTAGTTCTGTATTTGAACATTTTTCACTGTGAAAATATTAATTGGGCTGAGAGAGTTAACTTTTTCCATAATGACCATTCATTTTTTTAGTGATAGTACAACTCTCAAATAAACTTAACAGGGAATCATTGTTTGACACACGTAGAATATTTGCTAGATGTTCTTTAGAACACGAACTGAGGAAAAAGTACATTGCAAGCAGGGCACTTCAGAATTCCCTTTACAAAAACAAATGAAGCGCAGAGATTACACAGTTATACAAGCAGTCCTTGCAGGATTTGATAGATGCTCATCAATACTTTTTTATTTTGTACCTAAATGATTGTTTAATGATTACATTGGTTAGTTGCAATATGATAATCTTTTGTCATCCATCTTCTATCCAACTTTTTCAAATGTGCCAATCTTTATGAGAGCTTTCATTCTTAATATTATAACATCTGGATTTCTGAAAGGTTGTGCTATCTCTTTACATTATAACTTTCTTTTTGTTCTGGATTGTACAAATGAACAAATGTTACATGAAATCACTAGTTTTGAGTCTTCCCAATTATTACATTGTATCCCTATGTAATTGGTTGAATCTGAATGGGAACTTGAAAAGATGAAAAGATTCACACACAGCATAGGATTGAGATTTTGTAAATTTCATAGATGATAAAATAGCAATTAAATACAGTTGGGCCGGTGGAAATATCTATCGAATTGGAATAGATTGATTTAGAATGTCACTGTGTTGCATGTTGCCAATATTTGGCATTCTCCAAACCATTTAGGCTATGGCAATGCTGTAGAGATGAATACATAAATGTCATAATTGGTGCTATTATGACAACTGTGATTTGTAGTGGGATACTGGTTCTACTGAACAAAAATTATTTGATCCTGCTGACTTGTTGGATATTTAATTTGACCTTTAATTGTATATGTAAAGCTTTATGCCTCCTCTGTAATACTTCATGGATTTATGTGCACATAAATGAGGTTTTGGAGCACCATAGCAGTGAAATAACTAATAATTTCTACTTCCTTCACTCATAAATTCACTCATTGATAATGCATTGATTTGGTTGTTAAAAATGAAATTGCAGATAATGTACATAAAATAGACTTCGCCAAAGAGTATACAGGAGAAAAGAAAATAGTTTCCCTGTTTTAAAATTAGAAAATCATAAAGATTTGAACAGATTGAATTGCAGCATTTTACATTGCAAGCATGCTTAGATTTTCAGATCTCAGTAGACCTTTATATTATGTTTCATTTTACACTCTCAAGCAGTTTACTTAGCTTTGAAATTTGAAAGATAGTGAGATGTTAATTTCAAAACAACCAATAGTTTGCAAAAGCAATGCTGAAGAAAGCGCAGCTGAAATTGTATGATTCATTCCAAATATCAGCACTTAAAATGTTTCAATTCAAAGAATTTTGAAATTAAAGCAAGTCTTATGAATTACTTTTGCATTGAACAGGAAAAAAAAATTATACCTTCACGTCAATAAAGGTTGCCTGCCAGCATAGGGGCATATTTGACAATAGTTTGTTATAAAGATTGAAGCAAAAGATAGTTACCAAAGAGGGCACTCAAAGACCATTCAAACATTTTCAAAATTCATAGTAAGAGATAACTGCTGTCTACAGCCTCCAGAGGACTTAATTCTGCCTTTTGTTTAACCAAAAGAATTCTCTCTATCTGAAACCATAGCAAATTCATCTCTCAAGTATACATACCACTGATTAGATTATTACATCTGTATTCTTTAACTCGTCATTTAGACAATCTTGAACCCCTTTGATTGCTTCACATGCATGGTCATAAAGCAGCATGGCACACATACAGGGTACAAGTTCTCCTTGGAACTATTGTACTGAAATCCTGAGTGCGTCACTCGGGAAATCTTGCCAAGACATTCCAGCTGCATGAGGCATGTTCTGTTACTGATACACAGGAATGGTTGCAGGATGGCCAGATGGATGCTATAAATGACCCCCTGTATTTTATAAATGGCAATGCCACAAAATTACATTGCTGGTTGGGGAGAGGGGTCTGGGGACTAGTGGGGTATGGGAGTGGACGGTGAAACTCCAGCTCTGCTAAACAGTGAAGGAGATTTTAACTCCTGCTCCCTGGTGGAAGTAATACAATGGGGAAGTTAAGATTTGAGCTGTTTGGCTCGCTGCAAGTTCCTGTAATACTGTTGAGTTACCATTGCGCAGCTTTGGCATTCACCTGGGTGAATGGTGGAAGGGTGGCTCAGTGGTTAACATTGCTGCCTCACAGCACCAGGAACCCGGGCTTGATTCTACCCTCGCGTGACTGTCTGTGTGGAGATTACACATTCTTGCTGTATTTTTGTGGTTTCCTGCAGGTGCTCCAGTTTCCTCCCACAGTCCAAAGATGTGCACCTTAGATGGATTGGCCATGCTAAATTGCCCCGTAATGTCCAAGGATGTGGAGGTTAGGTGGGTTAGCCATGAGAAATGCAGGGTTACAGGTGTTGGGTGAGTCTAGATTGGATGCTCTTCAGAAGATCGGTGCGGACTCGATGGGCCAAATGGCCTGCTTCCACACTATAGGGATTCTAAACCTTGTAAATCTGTATGAAGCAGGTTTTTACTGTGGACTTCCTTGGTACGTTTAAAAGATACTGAGCTGGTATTATAAGATAGATCATGTAAAACAAAACTGTTGCAATCAGAGTTACCACAAGGCAATGCACTTAAAAATTGGATTACTAAATTCAGTCCTGAATTATCGAGCTAATTTAGTGTTGATACATGTCAAAAACCATTTTATGGATTTTATGGGGTTCCACAGCCTGCTTCTGTTTGAGAAAACAAAAAAAAATAGCCAGGACCCTATCTACAATAAAGTTGTTTGCACCATTTCATACTTGATGGGTAGTTAATTGGCTCAGGGTGGGTCTTCTACCTCTATCTATGTGGAAGTCCCACCTCAGAGAACTGTCTGGCAATCTGAAACTCCAGAAACTCTGTAGTCCCAGCAGCTTCAGGTTTGAATGGTTGTCACTGCTACAATTAGAGCAGAAGGAAAGGAAATTCTAGAGTGTGGACTGAAGGCTGGTTCAGGGTCCTGGTGAGGCCTAACTGGCAGGTGGTAGCAAAGTGATGAGGCAGATGCTGGGCTGGATATGAGAGGCTAGTGGCAGAGTTAAAGCAGGATATGTCCTGAGGGTACAGAAGGGTTTGGGGGGTGGGGGCTGTGGAATGCCTCCAATGGTCACGTAAGATCCTGAAAGTAGTTTTTCCCAACAAGTCCAGAAAAAGCTGCCAGTCTACTAGATTGACACCCACAATCCAAAGATGTGCAAGTTCGGGGCATTGGCCATGCTAAATTGCCCATGGTGTCCAGGGATGTGCAGGCTAGGTAGGTTAGCCGTGGGAAATACAGGATTATAGGGTTAGGCTAGAGTGGTGGGTCTGGCTGGGATGCTCTTTCATGGACTCAGTGGACTGAATGGCCTGTTTCATCACTGTAGGGATTCTATGATTCTCTGAAGTCCCAGATTTTACCATATGATTGATTCGTAATGCTCCAAAATATGTTCATGCACTGCTTAATTATGATACAATTGCTTCATGAAGAGGCTCACCACCAACTTCTCAGGTCAGCTAAAGTGATGACTGTGGTCTGAGTTGTGTGACCATGTAAACTATCCTGAGAACTAATTAAGAAAGCTTATTTTTAACCCATCCTATATAATCTAAAATGTTAAATTGATTGGTAAATAAAAATCCTGTCTTTCATTTACTGTAACGACTTCTGCCATGCAGCATTCTTTTTATACTCATTCATGGGATGTGGCCTCGCTAACAAGGCCAGTATTTATTGCGTGTCCCTAGTTGCCCTTGAAAATGCGGTATTGAGCTGCCTTCATTCCGTTTGGTGTAGGTAGACCCACAATGCCATTGGGAAGGAGTTTCAGGATTTTGACTCAATGGCAGCGGAGGAACGGTGATATATTTCAAAGTCAGGATGATGAGTGGCTTGGAGGG